CTAACTAAGCATGTTACTAAATTTTCAAGACAGTTGAAACCAACCAGAGACTTTTTCAATAAAAGAAGCGTGAAATCGCCAGAGTGAGAAGAGTGGAACAGTATGTGACCATCGCTGTATCATTTGTTCCTTCACTACAGGCTCAGTGGTGAGTGGGTGTTCTGGCTGAGGCTGCTGGGACGTGTGTGTGCATGATGAGTGCTGTTGTTATCGGTCAATTTCTAAGGAAAGTAGAGGCCAGACTCAGTTCCTCCTGGTGAATAGCCACAGTTCTGCCACATTGAGTCCAGATCAAACTTTATCTTTATCAGCTAGCTGTTCTTGTCAACCCACTGCTTTTAATTCCTTTAGTGACTTGATTCTGAGAACTCCCCTAGAAAGGCTGGTCTGTGTTTCTTACACTTTGTAACAGAATCTGATGCTATCAGAGCTACCAAAATTAAACATCCAGCCACACTGAAACACAACAAAACGCCAAAAAACCTGGCCTCTTTGTCTCCAACTACACATCTGAAGATGAGAACAACTTACCACCCATGTTGAGTTGAGTCCACTCCTATTGAATATGGCAGTTTTAGAGAAAGAAGGTGTCATAAGTAACATGGGGATAGTAGCTTCCTACTTCTTGTTTTTCTCTAGTTTTTTTTAAGGTTATACATGCTATTCCTATATATCCCAGGCTAATACAGAACTATGTAGCCTATATTATCCTTGAACTTACAATTTTCTTGCTTCAGTTTCCCAAGATTTCAGTCACATAACATATCTGACTGAGTTCTTGGGTTTTAAAGTGATACAAGGTGGATCCATAAATACTAGAAATCAAAAATTACTAATAGGGGTCTATAAAAGGTTGCCAGCACTGCAAACACGTGCCTTTAAAGATAGATCACCGTTTGGTATATATGCTTTAAAAAACTATCTCATTTGAAATGAGAAATTTCTTATAAATATTTCATAAATGATATCAAACTAGCACAAAGCCATTAAAAGAATTTACCTGTCTTATTTGAACGAGTTGATTATTAACCTATGAACCATTCCTCCAAATTGACCCTTGCTTTGAGGTATGAAAGATGCCAATTTATCTCATATAAATGAGAGGAAAATCAGTAACAAATATGCATGGTACCCTCAGGTAATCTGGTCAGCCTGATGATTCTGCAGGTCCTGTGTCAAGACAGTGCGTCCTTTCTATTCTTATCTCATTCCTTGTCTTTCTGCCTGCTGTTGAGTTTGCGGGCCAGCTAGCATCTAATTATTATGGGGACCATCACATATACTGGAATAGGAGCTGCTATCAGACTCTTGATTTGGCTTTTGCTACTTGGAGGTCTAAGGCACTGACTGAGACACACAAAGCTGTGGTTGTGTGACACACTAAAATCCTGTTCGTTGCTTGCTGTGAACAACTCAGCTTTAGGGTTCTGGCAAAGCATGTTGATGCCATTTAATTCTCCATTTTCCACTGAGGAGAAAGAAAGCCTTGATAAACCTCCAGCAGTTTTACATTAGGAGATGGATGTCCAAATAGAGTAATATGCAGAAGAAAACAGTTATTTGTGATGCGCAGCATCACTGAAATCAGTGGTCCTATTTGTTAGGCCTTTTCCCAATCTTCTGAATGTCACAGATGTATGTGACACTGTCTAACAAGTGTAAGGCCAGGATCACAAGAGAGACTCTCAGTGAATGAGTAGAAAGCTGACATCTTGGACTAGAGAAAAGGCTCAGCAGTTAAGAGCACTTGTTGCTCTTGCAGAGGATCCAGGTTCAGTTCCCAGCACCCACATGGTAGCTCACAACCATGCAGAACTCCAGCTCTTGTGGATCCTAGCGCCTCTTCTGAAGTCCTTAGACACAAGGTATGAGTACATATACATACATGTAGGCAAAATACACAAAAATATATACATCTCTGATTTATATATTAATAATAAATATGTCTAAATATTTTTAAAATTAAGTCTAATTTCTCATACTTGGGGCACACCTAATCTGATCCAGACATGATATTCAGCATCATTGTGTGTAGTCAGATTTTTTACCTTTTTTTATCAATATTTTTATTTTATAATTAACTTAATTTTACATATCAGCCTCCTATCCTCCCTCCTCCCACCCCCCAGGCTTTCCCCCCAATCCATGCCCCACTTCCACCTCCTCCAAGGCAAGATCTCCCCTGGGGATTCACTCTTTTACTCTTTGGGGGCCTACCACCCAGCTCCCAAATAATCACACAGAGACTTATTCTCATTTATGAATGCCCAGCCTTAGCTTGGCTTGTTTCTAGCCAGCTTGTTGACTTAAATCATCCTGTCTACCTTTTGCCTCTGGTCTTTTTTACCTTTCTCTATTTTATATGCTTTTCTTTACTTCTTACTCCATTGCTGGCTGGGTGGCTAGGTGGCTGGTCCCTGGAGTCCTCCTCTCCTTTTCCTTTTTCTTGTTCCTCCCTCCTGTTTCTTCTTGAGCCTAGATTTTTCCTTCAATTTATTCTCTCTTCCTGGCAGCCCTGCTTATCCCTCTCCTACGTAGCTATTGGCTATTCAGCTCTTTTTAGACCAGTCCAGTATTTTAGGCAGGCAAAGTAATACAGCTTCACAGAGTTAAACAAATGCAACATAAAAGAATGCAACACATCTTTGCATAATTAAACAAATATTCCACAGCATAAACAAATGTAACACATCTTAAATTAATATTTCACGAGAACTGTGTTGTCTATTTAACAATAAATGGATATTCTTGCCAATTCATCAATGTAGAGGCCCACAAAGTTTTCCTATTGAGATCTGAGCTTGCTTTAACCCAGCAGATCTGCATTAGGGGATTGCTTGACCATGCGCATGGTTACCAAGTAATTGGAAAGTGTCTGCACTTGGCTGTGCTAGGGGGAGGTCTTTTGCTCCACCCCTTGGCATTCCTATAAATAGCCCTTTAGAAGATCCAGAAGGGGCCAATAGATTAGGATCCAGGCCCTCCCAAAGCTATCCTGTGTTTTTATCTGTTTCTCTCCCCTCTATCCTTCTATCTAAATCTCATCCCTCATTTCTCAAGAGTACTCTGGGATAAAATGTGGGAGCCAGTCTCCCAGCTGGTCTCTTATACATCAAGAGAAATGTTGTAATCACAGGCCAGTGGCTACCATTTCGTGCACCTGTCTTAGATTAACCAGTTCCAGTAGCATTTTATAGATACGTCCAGAGCAGCAAAACATCTGAGTCACCTGAAAAAGTCATCTCTGGCAGAGGTGGAGCAAAATACACTGCTCTGCTATCTTCTTTCAATTCTCACACTTCAAATGACTGTTCATTTGCTCCTTTCCACAGTCAACATAGTGCCATTCTTTCTACATCACTAGGTCTTGAAGAGACACGTAGAAGATCAGCCAATAGGTGGTTGTATTTCTCACCTTAGTAGGTGTCCCTTGGCTTCAGACACAGCAAGAAAGTGAAAGCCAGGGACCTGGTCACCACCTGTGCTCACCAAAGGGATAGAAAAAAAAAGTGAGGCAGAAGCCTGGGTGCAGGCAGAGAATGAAGACAGTTCAGTTGTTCCATGTAGAGGGTATTCAAGGATGGCAACAGAATACAAGGGTGGACGATTGGATTCCCTGGGCTCCAAAGGTTGTGGATTTATTTTCAAAGCCTGACCAAAAAACAGTCCTCTTTCCCTATTGTTTTTAAACAACACCACCACCACAAAGGATAAGGCTCACTTCTGGACTGTGCAGGTCTATCGAGTCATCAAGTAGTTTTTAATCTTGTAAACTTTTTTTACTTAATTTATTAGTTATGTGTGTTACATAGTATGTGTGCATGTTTTGTGTTGGCACACGTGTGTGGGCACACATGCATACATGTGTATGTGAGTGAAGGACAACAGTTAACCTTGGCTTCCATTCCTCAGAGCCTCTGGCTAGGTAGGATCTGGGGCTCTCTGACTTGGCTAGACTGTCTGATCATCAAGCCCCAGGGACCCACCTGTGCCTGGGATAATATGTGCATATTATCACTCGTGGTTTTCAATGTTGATGCTGGGGACCAAATTCATGTCCTCATGCTTGTGTGGTAAGTACTTCACCAACTGAACTGTCTCCTCAGCTCTGTGAGCTCTTTCAGCTATTTGAAAATGTATTTATTGGGAAAGGAACACACTTCTTTGTCTGATGGTCTTACTAGGTCTGTTGGTTGATAGCCGTGTGAACATAATTTAGAGATAAGTACAGCGTGCCAACAACTGGACCTCTACAGTAATGTTTACATTTTCTCAGGGGTAATAACTTTTCCATTGGTGTTCTATTGCAGATTGGCCCAGAGGCAACAGTGTGCTTCTAGAAAGAAATGGGACCACTGTTTCTCTGGAAGTAACTTCTTAGAAGAGGTTTGACTTATGGAAATATGAAAAAGAAGTGAAAATAAATACCGATATCACCAATAGACAGTCATTACAGACTGGAACACTGGTATCAACCATAGACAGCAGTTACAGATTGGAACACCAGTATCATCTACAGACAGTGGTTATAGATTGGAACACCAGTATCAACCATAGACAGTGGTTACAGACTGAAACACCATTATCAACACAGACAGTAATTACAGACTGAAAGATGGGGAGGCACTTGTGTATCTACTTAGCACTTGTGTATCTGTGTGTAGACATCTTGGATGTGGTCAGGATGTGCTTGTTTCTGAAAACCACTCTGTGTTTATTGTCCAAAAGTTCTCCTGAACAAGAATTATCTATTTTTTAGTTTACCTTACCTATGAAACAAACAGAAGTAAACTAAACTTTCTGGAGAGATTATTTTTTATTCAGGTGGGAAAAGAAGGTCATTTGACAGGGGACGTGAGTCTGTCACTGCACAGTCACTGCAGATGACTGAATCTAGATCCAACCCCACCAGAACATCAGCAAAGAAGGGAAGTCTGTCAGAGCCCACACACGGTGCACACAGTGGAGGTCTCATTGTTCTTTCTTTGTCCATGGAGATGTTAGCAGTGTCCTTCACGAAGAAACTGAATTTTTCCATTACTCCTCCTGAGGGGAGGCATGATTCACAAGACTCAATAAAATCAGGAACATATACAAGTTGAAAAGAAGTACAAAAATTATGAAGTAGTAGTGGTACCTATTTTACAGATAAGAACAAGACTGTGGTAGAACCTCTTTTCACAGAAAGGAAGACTGAGTTCCAGAGCATCACGCTATTGCCGCAGAGGAAGGGTTCTCTGCTTCAGTGATAACTCTATCCCAACCTACTTCTTCCACTGATCCCAGAGGGGAGAAGATTACCCAAAGCATTGAAAGAACAAGACTTCACAAAGGGAGATGAGGTAGCTCGTCTCTCAGCTTTCCTTGGTCAGCAGGGCAAGGAGGGAGCTGAATACTGTACTACCAAGGAAGATTGCCACCATGTCTCCTTCTCAGAGGCTCATGGCCTTGAACATGCGTGTTTCATGGTCCAGGGCTGTGTATGCATCTGTGTCAAAGAATCTTTCCTTCTGTGAAAGGAAACTTTCCAAACAGAAATGTGTGTGTAAACGTGTTTTCTGGGCTCAGGCTCAACTTGATATTTGAACTTGCTAAGATGACCACAAAGGTGAAAACACAGGACATAGGTGTCCCAACACTGGTGGCTAAAAGATAGATAACAATGATAAAAAGTAAATTTGGTATAAGATAATAAGTGCTAAGTTTCACCTTGCATTTTAAAAGGGTGATATTTACCTAATTATTATTCTTCTGAATGCTGTGCAGGCCAAACAAAGCCAAACACAGTACGTAAACAAAGCATGTCCATGGGATTTTGATCCAACAATAACAGCCTTTATCTTTTATTTTAGGGGAAAAAAAGGCAAAACAATCATTTTCATTGCCTATTCTCCCTTAAGACTACTGATACTTACTTAGGGCCTGTAGCAACTTGAGAATGAAGTCCAGATGCAACATAATGTTGTTTAGTATTTTAGAAGTCACGTGAGATAGTGGATTCCAGACAATCAGTTATTCAGGAACCTTTCTTCAAATAGGAAGCTATATGGAACTCTACTTTTTAAAATAGTAAAATTTGACCTTGGGTTTGGGGGCCACTCCAAAAGACCACTTTAACCCATTTGGTGACTCCTGACTTGCCTCTAGGTTACAGGGACAAATATGAACTTGCAAACTCATGACTTCCTAGAGTTCTAATAATTAGAGATATGTGGCAGGATGGGAGCAGTTCAAGTTGGCGGAATAGCTGGTCCAACTATGGTCTGATTAATCTCCAATTGGATTTTCCTTCCCACTCTCTATTCTGTATAGAAATAAGTAAGCTATAAAGAATTAAGAGGTGTGTTAGTAAGAGGAAGAATTTGAGTAAACAACATTGTTCCCAGATACACTTTCTGTGCATTTGGTACTCACAAGATCTCTGTACACAGCTTGCATTTATTCCCGTAGGTGATATAGTCCGAACCACAAACTGGCATGTTTTCAATGGGGCAGGGGATGGCTACCACTGGATACTTCTTGTATATGCTGCAGTCCAACTGGTTATACAGAAGAGAACGTCATGGTTTTTTTCCTCAAACACCTCAAATATAACCATCTTGGATCAACTCTCCATGCTACAAGAGCTGGAGTCACTCTCGTCTCAGGTGTTCTGGTGCTATTGAAGTTATTTTTATAAAGAGGACATTTGCATCATGACAAATACCAGTAGCGCCAGCACCCTTCCTTCTTTTAAATGCTGCACTTGGTGAGCAATTGCTGAGCATTTCTGTGTCAGACAATTCACTTTAGCGTTACGTGATTTCCCATTATTTAATATTTAGAACACTCAGATAAGAGAAGTTCTACTATAACGCCCATTTACAAATGGAGAAGACAGTTCTTCATCTGTGTTGCTTTTCCTAAACATATGACATGATCTATGCATTGATATTTCACAAGTATTTGTTGACTAAGTGATAGCCAATAGACACTGAAATTAAAATTTTGTTCAGCATACTTACCATCGCTGAAGGGTGACTGGTGACTGTGGTCACTTCTGAAAGACAAATGCAAAGAAGTATTAAAAAATAAAGCAAAACCAAAATTCCATTAATCAATGTAGTATTGTCTTTCGGTCAAAGACTTTTCATTTCTTTTGGCAATGAATCTCAACATAGACCCCATCATTCTGCAAAATAACAGCTGTTTATTTAGGAACTTGGATGGCCAATGGGTAAGCTCTTAAATCAGGAAGGCAAATTTATTTATTCTTTCTGGAGCTTATGGTGTACTTGATAAAAATCAATGGCCACTGAGTCCTTATCACTGATACACTTTCTCTATTAATCAACATGAAGAAATGAAAAGGGCTACATGTGGTGGTGCACATATATTTAATCAAAGCACACTGGAGACAAAAGCAGGCAGAGCTCTGTAAGTCCAAGGTCAGCCTGGCCTACATAGGAAGGTCCAGGCCAGCTAGGACTACATAGTAAAACCCTGTCTCAAACAAACAAACAAAAAACAAACAAACAGAAAATTATATGAGCATCTTTAATATGTTAGAAATTGATTTTAACTAAACCTCTTTACACAACTTAAAAGCTGAATCGCTAACTTGAGCCTTCTGGGGCGGTGTGTTTAATTTCAATCCTACCGTATGGATTTCTGCATCTCTGCATGAGGAATAGCCATCTACTGACACAGCTGCAAGTATCCTTACACAATAGAATTTATAAATTAGGACCCCCTTTGTCCCGGGTACCAAGTAAGAATCCTTTCAAGAAAAGGCATTAAATCCCACTCTCTCAAAGTACAGCTAGAACCACTCTCCTTCCTGACCGGAACTGTTCTCACTTTAGATCCACTTGATCAGATGATTTTATCAGTAGCTTAGACCCTAGGGGAAAATGTTTGGAAAAGGAAAAAAAAAACCCTTCAGGACTTTATGTGACACTGTCTAATCCAACTCACCCGAGCTGTTGCAGAGATAGCTTGCTGTGAGGAGCAGAAGGAGACCCCCAAGGACCTTCATGGTGGAGAGGGCTGTGATGAGGATGCTAGTGATCTGAGATTGGCTTGAAGCTGAATGCACCATGCACCAGGAGAGGGATCGTATTTATAGGGAAAGCTTTGGTTTCTCCACCTTTCCTGTGAGCTCATCCACAGTCAGTGTTGGACCTGAGAGGCTCTCAAAGCATGCCACACCCGAGTGGCGCGGCCGTACTTGACGGTTAATTACTGCTTCCCTTCTCACCAATAGGGAGGTGACTTGAGGTGACAAGTATTTTTCTGTCTGTTGCATAAGTGAGAACTGTTACTTACACTCAGCTTTTCACAGAAGAGATTAAGCACAGGTTTCTTCCTTATGAGACAAAAGGAAATTACCAGCCTAGTTTATTTTACCTGAATGGAAGGTATTAAACACAGGCAAGTCATAGTATACCTACATCGAATTTAGGCTCCCGAGAAGATAAAGTTTTCTTTTCAAAGCAGTGAGCCTATTAAGCATTCTGGGGTCTGGCAAATGTAACAACAGCTTTGGTATTTATGAGGTTTGGAGAAAGGTGTTGGCATTTCCTAGCTATGAAACCTTGGGTAAGTCATTGGTGAAGCTGTGAACTTTTACCAGGCAGGAAAGCATGACATACGGCAGTTGCTTGTAATTTTGAGATTTCTATGACTTAAAGCTTGTACCTCTGTGAGTGGGTGGTCAGGTGATGCTGCTGCATGGCTGGCTATCTCTTCAGTTGCCAAATGGGCAAAGTAGTCACTGTTTAGAATGGTGCTGTCCAATGAGGTGAAGAAATATTCTGAAGGATGCCCCTTTCCATCAATGAAATAAATATCCCATCCCAGAAGAGTTGCCCCTGTCATGTCCCTTCTCTGTCACATAGCTATCGGGCTCAGGGTCTTTTCCAGCTGTAGAGGATGCGGAATGATTATAGTCACTCTTACCTCGTCCGCTGAGCGTCAGCATGAGAATGACTACAAGTCGTTGACAAACAGCAGAGTGTCTGCCTCAGAGCCTAGCCTGAATGTCATCCCTGTCCCGTGGGGGTTATCATTAGTCACAACAGAGCTAAATGCCGTTAACACAAAAGCCTGTTTTAAAGCAGAGTGTGTTTGAATATGCACTTGGGATTGTTAATATTCACCAAGGAGACAAGCGTCAGTACTTGGATTGCCGGCAGTTAAACTGTAAACTGCGTTGTCCAGGCACAGTTTTCCAAGTGCCTACCATTAGTCTGCAAAGCTCAAGAACATGCATGAAAATCCTGAAAGCAGTAGTAGATAAAGCTCATTGTAGTAAGCTTAATTTTGTATGTTCTGAAAAACAGCATATACAAATGATATTAAACAACTAATGAATGACATTGTTATCACATTAAAATTTAGACTTTTACGTATTTGGTGGGGGCAATGTAATCTTGTTGAAAGCACTAAAATTGTATACCATGGATCTCATTTGAATTGTTCATCTAAAAGCCATGGAATACTGTTATTAAACTTCGAGAGACATGAATTCTTCATCTCTGAAACACAACTAATTTTACCCCATGGGATGTTTTGGACTCTTAAGTGAACCTTCACACACATGCGCACACACACACACACACACACACACACACACACACACACACATACACATGAGGGGGGCAGGTAGCATGTCATGACAATTTGGTTGTATAAAAATCACAGAGTATAATTATACACACACACAAGCTATCATATATGTACATATAATCTGTATGGATGTGCACATACATATAGACATATATCAAAGTATATATATATTAAGTTCATTTCTTCTAGGACTATTTAAATAAGATAGCATTAAAGCACAGGATATATAATAAAATTGAGAGCCATAGTAAACCTGAGATATACAAGACTGTACCTGAAATAACACAATAATACACTGTTTTATAGTAAATGTTCTTTTCATGTAAGTAGAAGGAGTAAGTGCTAAAATATTATATAAAGTATATAATACAACATATATTAGTTATTAACCATAATTCATTATCAGGTATTGTGTACGTGTATTGTACACAATGTACTTTTATATGACCAGAGGTACATTTCATCATTACAAATAGTCTCATGACTATGAAATACAACTAATATGTACCCCATTGGGTAAAGTAGTTATGATGGCTAAAAACAACTAGGTAATGGGTATTTTTTTCAACTTCACTATAATCTTCTGGGACTATCATTCTATGTGCAACATGTTGTTGACTGAAACACCACTATCTAAAATATGACTATGTGTCTAATTCTTTTATGAGTGTGTGTGTGTGTGTGTGTGTGTGTGTGTGTGTGTGTGTGTGTGCTGTATCAAGTAGTGCTGGGCTCATAATCAGATATTGATATGGTAGCTCATGTTGGGGAATGCAATTTTCATGACAACATTTTGAAGAAGTTAGTTATTGCCCTAATTAACCAGTTGAAGCTTTGAAGACTTATATAATTTCCCTAAGGTCATGGCACCAATTCCTGGAGGAGATTATGCAGAGTTGAGTCACAGGCAAGAAGTGATGGTTCTACTAAGGACAAATAGTTGTAAGTTCTATTGTTTGTTATGAAAGTTTACAGATAATGAATACCAACCTAGAGCCATCATGTTTCAAGATGAGGTATATATATTTTTTAAGTTTTAAATAACAGGGTTTTTGTTTTATTTCATTTTTTAGCAAACAAAAAAAGGAATGCTAATGAGATCAGGGGTGATCAGGATGCTGTAGAAGTACAAGTTCACAAAGTATTATTTTGGATATTTGGGCATCAGGGAAAAGAATGAAATGGCAGAGACTTTGGCTACATTCAGCAAAGTCTTGTATTTACTGAGTATCTTGAAGCCAAGGGCAAAGACGCCCAGTGGAGGGTGGTGAACTAGAGGCCTATAAAGGGAAGACATAGGGTGAAGGCACAGATGAAGCCACTCCCTCTGTCACAGAAGACAGGTGATTAGGTAGGTAGGTGAATGTGGAGACTGCTGTTTGGAGAGATCAGGCCGTGGAGCCCATCATAATCTGCCTTGGATTATAGAAGAATTGAGTTGCGCTGTAGCTTGAGAAGGTTTGACACCAACATAGATGGGGATATGTCAGATCATCCAAACTGGATATAAGAACTGATGGCCATTAAACAAAGCTCCAGCACAATTAGTACCTTGTTGCACATTTTTTCTCAAAGTCCTTATAACACTAAGTGATCTTATGAATGTTGAATGAGTACACCTGTGATTCTGACAAGCATATCTCTGTGTTAGGGAGTACCAAGGTTTGGAAGAGAGCCACTTGTTCTAGAAACTTCTAATTTCTTCTGAAAGATCAAGTTTTAAACAAAATATGGACTTAGTAGGTGTGGAGAACATAAATAATTGTTTATGCAGGCTATGGTCAGAAGGTAAATGTCAGGATTAATTTCTCAAGGGTGGGGCTGAGTTCATGACACTCTGGGTGTTTACAAAAATAAAGCAGAGGAGGATGGGCAGAGATTAAGAGTGAGGAGGAGTGAGGTCAAGGGATCAGGCTTGGGGTTGGTTTGGGTTTTGGAAACTACTTCTGGGAAGTAGGAATTTTCATGCTGAACACTGAACCACACATTCTGGGGAGGGGTCACAGTTATGGAGTGGGAAAGCAGCCTATTTCAGGCCAAGGGTAGTTTGTTCGTTCCATATGTTCCTTCAAAGCAGGAACCTTGAATTCTGTAAGAGGACCACTATTGTGGGCCCACATAGTGGGAGGAAGTGTAAAAATAAATGCAGAAAACATGAAAACACAGTCAAAGGCTTTGTAGTCTTACATATTTTTCCAACTAGATTTGGGGTACTCCAAGAAAGAATAGGATGGCTCATTAAAGGGTTATACTGGAATAATGATTGAGCGAGGTGTTCCTGGGTCAGCTACTTAGAGAGATATAAGGGAAATTGCATCATAGATGGGCATAATCCAGGGACGGAACAGTATCTATAGCAGCAGACTATCATAAGGAAACTAACATATATTAAGTAATTAGTATATACTGAACCTGTGCTCTCTGAATCTGGATTAGTTCACTTAAAACAACCTTATGAGATAGGTAGGAATAGCCACTTTGTTTTAGCTGAGATTAAAAACAAAGGCTTAAAAGGTAGCAGTTTAAACCAAGGAATGATACATTTTAATTCTTCTAATGTAATGAGAACCCAGTTCTTCCCACCACGGGGGCTGTGGTTATCAGTCCCAGCACTGCTGTGTGCTTGGTCGGTAACATTCTTGATATACCCTGTGTTCCTCTTGTGAAACATTGTTTAATTAGCTTCTTGCTGCCTTTGTTCCATTGTGTGATAGTCTCTGCTGACTTGGTCTCATCTCTCCCTTCCTGAAAATAGTATATAAGATGCTGTACTTTTTAATAAGCTTGTTAGGCATAAGACAATAACTTGTGCAAGACCTCTGGACTCCAGCTTTTATGTTCTCTATCCTCTATCTTTTCTTTCTCATCCCTTGGAATGTCCCCTTCAGGACCATGTCACTAAAGAATGACCATCTGGTCCATGTCAACAAATCGTTCTAATCATGAGATAAGATGATGTGAATAAACGATAACAATTTTCCTTCTGGTTCACACCCCACATCCGGATATTGATTGGCACATACACAGCTGTCAGCAGTAATTGATAAAAATCACATCTACTGCTCTCAAAGCTGAAAGGATACCTACAACCTAAAAGTCAGCCAGCATGAAATAATGTCTTAGTTAAGGCTGCTGGGACAAAATACCAAAAACTGAGGAGCTTAAACATTAGAAATTTCTTTTCTCACAGTTCTAGGGAGATTTCACCAAAGCGTTGGTTTGGCTGGTGTACCTTCTGTGGCCTCTCTCCTGGGCTTCCAGACAGACACGCTTTGTGCTAGCCTTCACATGGCTTATTCCCCAAGTGCATACACTTGACTTTTGTTCTTTCTGTCAAGACACCAACTCTACTAGGTTAAAGCCCCATCGTTAAGACCCTCTTTAGCCTCCTTTCTTGGCTATGACTCC